AAACCTAATGCCTTACACGTGCTAGGTGAGCACTCTACCACTGAGCCACAACCCCAGCCAGCACCCAAAGTTTTTGTGAAGAACCTAATTCTATTTCAATTCAGTTACTCCTTAACTGGGAATCTGATAATCAATTCTAACTCTGAAAGTTCCCTAAGTTCACACATTTGTAAGCAATGTCAATTGGTTTTCTCCTCCTCCTCTTCCTCCTCCTTCTTCTTTCTTCTTCTTCTATGTTGGTACTGGGAATTGAAACCAAGGGCACTCAGCCACTGAGCCACATCCTTAGCCCTTTTTATTTTTTATTTTAAGGGTCTCATTAAGTTTCTGAGACTAGCCTTGAACTTGATATCCTCCTGACTCAACCTCCCAAGTCACTGTATATTACTTCTTTATCTATTTTTCTAAGTTCTAGGTTTTTAAAATATTGATTACAAGAAGGCCTATCCTGATTTCAGAAGCATTTAAATGTGAAAAAAACTTGAGACTTATATTTGAAGACATATGGTTTTTAAAATGCTACTGGGAAACACATGAGGAAGTGATTAATTTTGTCTGGATGACAAGGTGACATTTGAGTCTAGTATGGGAAGTTGTGTAGGAGTTTCCCATGCAGATAAGAGGCTAAAGGGTATTCCAAGCCAAGGGAAACCTCTATTATGGTGCTTATCTCAATCTATTCTGTATATTGCTCCACTCCCACCAGCTTGTAAATTCCTTGAGATCAAGAACAAATTTGATTTCCCAAAATGACCATATAGCTTGTTATTTTGCCATTTTTTACTAGTTCATTTCATATTTATTAATTTTATTCATATTTTTATTTACTGAAAAAACAGTATTTCTCGTAGCTCATTGTAAAAAACTGGTAAATACAAAGAGGCAAACACCACCCCACACAAATTTCTGGCAGTAGTCAGAGGCTGAGGCAATGAGGTTGTTTGTTTGTTTGTTTTTAGTACCAGGGATTGAACCCAGGGGCACTTAACCCTGAGCCACATTCCTAGCCCCTGCCTCCCCACCAACCCCCTGCTTTTTAAATTTTTTTATTTGAGACAGCGTTTTGCTAATTGCTTAGGGTCTCACTGAGTTTCTGAGGCTGGCTTTGAAGTTGCCATCCTCCTGCCTCATCTTCCTGAGCTGTGTTGAAGAAGTATCTCAAGTTAGAATAGAATAGTTAGAGGACTATGGCATCTGGAAATGCAATGAGTTTTGAAGTCTATAACATAATATAAAGAGGAGCTTAAAATGACAGCTGGAGCTGGGCTCGGTGGCCCACGCCTGTAATCCCAGCAACTCGGGAGGAAGAGGCAAGAGGATTGCAAGTTTAAAGCCAGCCTCAGAAATTTAGGGAAATGGTAAAGAACTCAGTAAGACTTTGTCTCTAATAAAATACCAAATAGGGATATCGATGTGGCTCAGTGGTCGAGTGCCCCAGAATTCAATCCCTGGTACCCAAAACAAATAAAAAACCAAACAACTGGCATAATGAAAAGAAGATTCTGGGCTGGGTGTGGTGGATTACAGCACACCTGTAATCCCAGTGACTGGAGAGGCTGAGGCAGGAGGATCACAAGTTTACAGGCCAGCCTCTTCCCAATTTAGTCAGACTATCTCAAAATAAAAAGCACCCCTGGGTTTAATCCCCAGTATCCACCCCCTGACCCCCATCCAAAGGGGAAAAAAAAATAATGGCTCTCAAAGTCTGCAGCTTCAGATGTGGCACTGAGAATGGAACCCAGTGCCTCATACATGCTAGGCAAGCACTGTGCCACTGAGCCACAACCTCAGCCCCAAGACCTATTTTAAATATATAGTTTCAGACTTAGGTTTTTGAGTTGAAACCTTACCAAGTTAATGCATGGAAGTGGATCATCTAAATTTCATAATTTTTTTTTTGTACTGGAAATTGAATTCAGGTGCGTTTAATGACTGAGCCACATCCCCACCTCTTTTTTTTATATTTTATTTAGAGACAGGGTCTCACTAAGTTGCTGAAGCTGGCTTTGAATTTGTGATCCTCTTGCTTCAGCCTCCCAAGCGGGTGGGATTATAGGCATGTGTCCGGCTAACATCATTATATTCATATATATATATATATATATATATATATATATATATTTTTTTTTTTTTTTTTTGGGGGGGGTGGGTAGGGGTGGGGGTGGGGAGCTACTAGAGATTGAACCCAGTGGTATTTTACCACTAAGCTTCATCTCTGACTCTATTTTTTACATTGAGACAGTCTTTATCACTGATCTACATCTCTAACTCCTTTTATTTTTTTATGTTGAAACAGGGTCTTACTAAATTGCTGAGGGTGGCTTTGAGCTTGCAATCCCCTGCCTTAACCTCCAAAGTTGCTGTGATTATAGGCATGTGCTACCTCACTTGCCTAGTTTCATTATATTTGTAAGTATATTTGATTTATAAGGATTACAAAACTTTGGAAAGTTTCTAGGTCAGACAAGTGAAGGAATTAAAAAGAAAATCTAATATTTTTAGGTTTAGGTTAAAATTACGTTTAGGTTATAAACATAATTTTAAATGTTTGATGATGCTGGATTTAGTTAATGAATGGGATAAAAATTATTTGGTTTCTAAACAGTGATTAGTAAAAAGTGCTAGACTTATAAATAGAATAATAAAACTTGTAAGCTTTATCTAAAAGCCTAAGAAGAATACTCCAGGCTCTCTGGCACATGCTTGTAGTCCTAGCTGCTCTAGATGCTGAGTCAGGAGGCTTGCTTGAGCCCAAGAGATAGGCCAGCCTTGGTAATATAGCAAGACCCATCTTAAAAAACAAACAAAACAACTAACAAAATCCCCACCAAAATAAAACAAAAAATCTTAATAAATAAATAACTTTTGATTTTGTAGCTATAATAAATTAAACCCTTGCCCCTTTTTTTTCCATGGGGATATTTTGTTCTTATAAGATTTTAAGTATTTCACTTCCGTAGTTTGAGGGCTGGGGTATAGCTTAGTGGTAGAGTGCTTGCTTGGCCATGGGTTGAATTCCCAGCACTGTAACAAAAAAATTAAAGGAAGAGTGAACAAATTGAAAATGGCTGAAGCAAAAAGACTGGTCAGCTTGTAAAGAGGTTTATTTGGTATGCTAAGGAACTTGGACCATATTGTGACTGAAGTAATAGGAAAAGTATAGAGTTGAAAGATGAACACATTGCATTTGCACTTTGGAAAGAACACTGTGATAACTTTGAGGGTCTAGTTGGCAGAAGGGAAAATAGAGATGATGATAATCTAAACAGTGTAATCACAGGGGCATAGAGACAAAAGCAAGACATTTCAGAAATAACACATGTTAGATGTAGGGCATGAGACAAGGAGCCTGGTGTGTCTCACTGAGAATTGAGTACTTCCATTAATAGAGACTATAGCAAAAGCTGATCAATGTTTGACACATGGAATTTGAAGTATCTGCAGGATAAACAGATAAAAGTGCTCATTAGACAGTTGAATACACGGAGGGGCTTCCCGACAGTCTGGTCTGGTGATAGATACTTAAGGAAAGAAAGAGAGAGAGAAAGAAAGAAGAAAGAAAGAAAGAAAGAAAGAAAGAAAGAAAGAAAGAAAGAAAGAAAGAAAGAAAGAGAGAGAGAGAAAGAGAGAGAGAGAGAGA